TTTAAGTGATATTACATGAAAAAAATATATATAATTATTTAACTTTTATTTGTTGATTTAGTATTATATGAATTTTTATGAAATAAAAATAAGAATAAATTTCATTGATACTCCTTGAAAATGACCTAATTACAAGGAAATAGGTGTGAAAAACAAAAATGAGATAAAAGTATATAGGTGGGTAAATTTGATTTCATTATAATAATTGGGGATAAAATAAAAAATAAATAAAATTTCACAAAGACAAATATTTATAAGTAGTATAAATATATAAACATATATGTATGTGTTGGACACAAGCAATGGGGTGCCGCCCAGACAGCACCAATTCTTATTTGGCATCAACGTGTATACTGATCTCATGGATGTGGCTATTTGTCTTGTCTTACTTTTATTTACTATCATTATTATAATATAATATTTATATGGCCTTGCCATTATTATAATAGAATATTTGTATGGCCTTGCCATTATTATAATACAATATTTGCATGGGCTTACTTTGACTTACCATGATTATTATAATATAACTTTCCCTTAGTTCCCATAGACACAGAACAAGCAAAGGGGCGCTGCCCATAGCAAACAAAGGGGGCGCCGCCCATCACAAACAAAAAGGAGCTGCCCACTAGCCTCTTGAGGGCTCGCCCAAGCTGCCCAGCAGCCTTGAGGCGTCCGCCCAGCACCACAACACTCCAGGGTCGCCCATAGCACTCCTAGCCCAAGTGCCAGCCCAGCCCTTCTAGCATTGCTCAAGGCGCTGCCTAGCCCCTCTGGTATCGCCCTAGCCTCCAAGCGTAGTAGTGCCCAAGGTGCAGTTGCTGCGCCTCCGATGTCACTTACACTTGGCGCCACCACGCCCCTCGTCCTGGCGTCATCACAATCAGTTTAATTCGGGACCTAGAGTCTTAGTCAAACTCGACTCCGAGTATCAAGTGAATATTGATAAATAAAGCCTCTCAACGAGCATATCCCTTCTTACAAGTCAAGACTCAACATCCTAATATGATTCTACCTTGAACATCTAGGAAATTGGTGATGAGATCTATCCTATCACAGCTTAGAGTTTAATTCTACTTGGAACACGATCTTTTATATCTCACTATAAATAAAGGTTGTGGATACCAGGTATGTAATCTAATCTGAGTCTATTCACTATACACTTTTTCTTCAACTAGCTTACTGACTTAAGCATCGGAGTTCCTTTGGCCACCTCCGGCCATCGATTCACCTAGGCATTCTCTTGTCTTGCAGGTTCACCAAGATTTCTCCACCACCTTCTCCATTTATACAAGGTGGTTACTCTCCGTGTGGATTTATTTCCGTACAATATGTATATAATATGACACTGTAAAGGCACTCCAACTTTAACAATTGTGAATTTTTCTGCTTTGCGCTCTTGTTCCTACCCTCGCTCTCACTCTATCTAATACAGGTCTTACTCGTGAAATTGAAACTACTAACTTTTAATGAGATTAAAGTTAGACTATAATTCAAGCGATTTGATGAAATGTCTATAAACCCCTATTTAGCCCGTATTATTTTTTCATATCGGATAAGAACTACTATGACTATATCCGTTAGAGTCGTCCACAAATGGTTACCATTCCTATTACTTCATCTAGGCCAAAAGGGGAAAGAAATAGTGATGGAGGTTTAGATCATTAGTGAGGAATAAAAATACTATGGCAAGCTAAGATTATTATTTTTTATTTTTTTTTGTCTTTTGGAATGAACAAACTATTGTAAAGAGTTTCTGAACTAATTCTTTATGTTTCTTTTGAAAAGGGGAAGATAGGAAATGCAACCCACAAAAAATAATAATCAACCCTTCATATAAGTAAATAGTTACACATCCTTCTTCCATGTAAGCAAATAACTATTAAAGTGGGGTTTACCTTGCCCACTCGGTGTTTTATTATTGATTAGTGATAATACGTTAATATTGATGATATGATATCACTGTTGAATTCAATCTTTCCTCGGGAAGATAGAGAGAGAGAGAGAGAAAAAAAAAAAAGATAAATAAAATAAAATAGAGCAAAATAAGTACCCAAGGTCGATATCACTTCAAAAGCATCCAATACTAACTATTATTCCTAATTATATAAAATAAAATAAGAAAAAGGGTTAAAAAAACCATGTCTAGAACTATGAAAAAAGATTTTGTAGATCTTGCGTCGATTTAAATGGCTGGATGTGTTAATCTCTTTCATTAATTATTAAAGTCCAACTTGCCAAATTCCCATTTTGCTTGATTCTCGAATGAAATAAAGATGCAGAGTGTCTATTTATTTTTCTTTGATTATGGGGCATGCCTATGAGTTTTTTTTGCATACCCTGTTCATATCATTGTATTCAATGATCCCATGGGATACCAAATTATTTGTCCATCCAGTGTATACAACTATAGTTACGCTTTGGATCAGTTTCGATAACTTTGTATGAGTTAGCCAAAGATAAGAAACAAAACGAAAAATTGATTATTGTCATTTATCAAATACAAAAAAATAAAATCGAAAGCGTAAAGTCCTTTCTTAAGGAATGGTAAAAATTAGCATAGTTGTAAAAAGACCACCCAACTACTTCCAAAGTTTTGAAGAAGTTACAACTAGCAATGTGAATGGAAATATTTATGAATAACTCCTTTCTTTAAAAGGAAGATTTCCCAATTTCTCCCTTCAGAATTTTCCTCCTCTGCATTGATTTCAAATCTTTAACAGAATCAATCAACTTCCACATGTAACCTCTGCAAATCCTAAGCCATTACCCAAAGTGACTTGTAACCGCCCCCAACATGTTCTCACGACATAAAAACCAGTTTTTAGGCAGCAACCAAAAAGGATAAAAGTGAGAAATAGGAAAGTGACTCCTTCCTAGTAAACCTAAAACAGAGGGTTTGATCGTTCAAGTGAGATAACAATAGAAAATACAAAAAAGTAAAAAATTTTAAATTTTTTATGTGTTTGGTTAGCATGAAATAGAAAATGATGGAGTTTTTTTTTCTTGCATGTTTAAATTTTCTCACAACTAACTAACTTTTTTTCCTTTCAAAAAATTATTAGAAAAAACAAGAAAGTTGTTATCAATAATTTAACTTTTCATTTTATCCTTATTTTTTTAAAAATATTCAATTAGTTATTAATTTAAAAAAAAAATTAGATACAAATTTAGCTAACCATATAATCTAGTCTAAATATTTGAGTTCGAGTTGATCATTGTCCGAGAACTAGGATAGAAGCAAAAATTTTTTAAAAAATAATTTTTAATTATAAAAAAATATTTTTTATTTCTTTAGACTAAGTTAACCTAATAACAATTTTCTAGTAACTTTTCTTTCGGTCAAACAACATAATGAATTTTTTTTTAAATTTTCTTGAAGAATTTTATGCTAAAAATATATTTTTCATACATAAAAATATATTTTTTCTTTTACTTTCACTTTGCATCATCTTTGTCTTACTAACCAAAAGAAGGAACTGAAAATTTAATCTAATAATGTAATTTTATTGGGACTATTAGATATTAAGTAAGATGTCATCGTGAAAGTTATGATGCAATAATGGTTAGTTAAAATTTAATTGGGTAAGTTACGCCTAACAAAATTAATTATGATTTAATCATATTTGATTTATGACTCAAAAAACAAGATCAATCCTAAAATGTTAAGATCAATCTTAACGATTTAGGTCGATGTAAAATATTCCCATTTCAATTGTCAGACTCCATACAAAGCATGTTTTTTTTAATACATGAGTTGAGTTATTATGATTAAAATGTTAAAATTTAAATAAATTATTGTGGTTAAAAAGTTAAAATAGAAATCATGGTTAAATTTTAAATTAGTTATTGAGTTACGATGGTTAAAAAGTTAAAATTTAAATAAATTATTATAATTAAAATATTAAAATTTGAATCGTAATATAAATCGTCGAATATAAACAATCTAAACTGTTGTTTTAAGGTAAGTTTCTGTCACGTTTTATCATAGAGCAATGTTATAAAATTTAAATAAAATCTAAAATTGCAATCTAAATGCATTTTATTCTTTGAATGGATGGCTCCCATCAAAGATTTTATGAATTATTTAGCCAAAAAAAGTGGAAGATTAAATGGTAAGAATATTGGGAAAAATCATCACATAATCAATGCAGAAAAAAGACTCACGGCTTTCCCTATCTTCTCTTTCTCTTTCTCTTTCTGCCTCTGCAAATCACATTTTTGTTTTTCTTCCAAACTTTCCCATTTTTTCCTCCAGTTTCCCGAGAAAAAAAAAACCTCTGAAAAAATGTCCTAAAACTCTGGAACCACATGCTTGGAAACAAACCCACTTCTCATTCCAGGTAACTAACTAACCACCTTCTCTCTATTTCTATTACCTCTTTAGTTCCTCTCTCTACTACGTTTGCATGCGTATATGTATATCTAATATACACGCATTTGAATGTTTTTTATGGTTTTCGTGGATACTTTTAACTTCTTCATGTAGAATGTGTAGTTTTGGGAATAGGGTTTGTCATTTGATTTTGTATAGCGATGTTCTTACTTTTTGATTTTCGCAGGTCATTTTGCGTTGATAAAATTCTTTCATCATCTCTCTAGAGGATTTGCACCTCCATTAAAAACAACTTCTACACAAATCTCACTGCCTCTCTCTCGCTCTCTTCCCTGTTCATGTTCTTCTCTAACATGGTTTTGGTTTATAAGTTCTGATAACGTTGTCCTTCCCAAACTGTTGAATGTTGGGTTTCTAAAGATAAATACTGAATGGTATGCTTGCTTGGATTATGCCATCGTTACCGAATTTTCAGGAGAAAATTAAAGTTCTGTCTCTATGCGCTGTTTTTTTGTAACGGCTCTGCCATTGTTTGAGAACATCATCCCATTTTTCTAGGCTTACAAAATTTTCAAAATTTGTCTTTAAATCTTTAGCATTGATTCTGAACTGTATGCAATGTTTTGACTCTTTCTGAAACTCCAATTCTTGCAAGTAAGACACCATGCCTAATCAAAACCCAAATCGAAATCAAAACCGAAACCGAAACCAAAATCAGAACCAAAACCAAAACCAAAATCAGAACCAAAACCAAAATCAGAACCAAACCCAAAACCAAAACCAAACCCAAAACCAAATTCCAATCCAAACACAAAACCCGGATGAGGATTTCCATCTGAGGGAGACCTCACCGACGCTAGGCGGAGGAAGGGTCTCTGGCAATGACAGGGTTGGAACTGCCTTTGATCTTGTTGAGCAAATGCATTACCTCTTTGTTAGGGTGGTGAAGGCCAAAGAATTGCCATCAAAGGATGGTAATGGTTCTCCTGATCCTTATGTTGAAGTGAAGCTTGGAAGCCATAAGGCTCTGACAAAGCATTTTGAGAAGAACTCTAACCCCGAATGGAACCATGTGTTTGCATTGTTGAGAGACAGAATTCAATCTCACAATGTTGAGGTTTGGATGAGGGATAAGGGCAGGAGTGAAGAAGATCCCATAGGGAGGGTTGTGTTTGAAATTACTGAGGTCCCGGAAAGGGTTCCACCTGATAGTCCTTTGGCACCACAGTGGTATAACTTGGAGAAGAGAGATGGGACTAATGCTAAAGGAGAGTTGATGCTAGCTGTTTGGATGGGGACACAAGCAGATGAGGCCTTCTCAGAAGCTTGGAATTTGGATGCTACCGCAGTCAGTGGTGATGGAGTCGCAAGCATAAAGTCTAAGGTTTATCTATCACCAAGGCTTTGGTATCTAAGAGTGAATGTGATTGAGGCTCAGGACTTGCAACTTGGTGATAAGAATAGGCAGCAGCCAGAATTTTTTGTGAGGGCCATGCTTGGGAATGCAGTTTTGAGGACTAAAATTTACTTGAGTCGGAATTTAAGCCCATTGTGGAATGAGGATTTGATGTTTGTGGCAACAGAGCCTTTTGAAGACCAATTGGTTTTGAGTGTGGAGGATAAGGTAGCGCCCAATAAGGATGAAGTTCTGGGGAGGTGTATGATTCCTTTACATAATGTGGAGAAGAGAACGGATCAGAAATCTCCGAGCAATAGGTGGTATAATCTTGAGAAGCATGTGACATCTGAAAATGGGGAGAGGAATGTGCAAAAGTTAAACAGTAGGATTCATTTAAGGATCTGTATGGATGGTGGGTACCATGTGCTTGATGAGTTAACTCAATACAGCAGTGATTTCAGGGAAACAGCAAGACAGTTGTGGAAGCCCAGCATTGGGGTGCTGGAATTGGGAATTTTGAATGCTCAAGGATTGTCAGCAATGAAAACAAAAGATGGCCATCAATCCACAGATGCTTATTGTGTGGCCAAGTATGGGCAGAAGTGGATTCGAACAAGCACAGTTCTCAATAGTTTTAATCCACAATGGAATGAACAATATACTTGGGAGGTGTTTGATCCTTGTACTGTCATTACGATTGGTGTATTTGATAATTGTCACCTACAGGGAGTCGATAAGGGTGGGAGAGCAAAGGATTCAAGAATTGGGAAGGTGAGGATTCGACTATCTACCCTTGAAACCGATAGGGTTTACACACATTCCTATCCCCTTATGGTCTTGCAACCTTCTGGGGTGAAGAAGATGGGGGAAATTCAGTTGGCTGTGAGGTTTTCTTGCTCATCATTGCTTAATATGCTCCAAATGTACTTCCAGCCTCTTTTGCCAAAACTGCATTATCTTCACCCAGTAGCTGTTAATCAGATTGATAATCTAAGGCACCAGGCTACTCAGGTTGTCTCCAAGAGGCTGAGCCGTGCTGAGCCACCCTTAAGGAAAGAGGTTGTGGAATATATGCTTGATGTGGGTTCAAACATGTGGAGTGTGCGAAGAAGCAAAGCTAATCGTGCCAGGATTGCCTGTGTTCTCTCTTCCTTGGCCGGAACTTTCAAATTGTTTGATTGGATTTGCTCTTGGCAGAACCCTTTCGTTACCATTCTTGTTCATATCGTGTTCTTGCTATTTGTATGTTTCCCAAGGATGTTTTTAAGCACAATTTCTCTCAACCTTCTGTTGATTGGAATTCTGAATTACCGAGGGAGACCAAGACATCCTCCTCACATGGACATTAAACTCTCATGTGCAGATAGAGCATTTGCTGATGAATTGGATGAAGAGTTTGATACATTTCCCACTTCTCGGCAAGCTGATGTTCTCAGAATGAGATATGATCGATTGAGATGTATTGGCTCGAGGATGCAAACAGTGATTGGGGACTTGGCTACTCAAGGGGAGAGGCTGCAGAACCTTCTAAGCTGGCGAGATCCAAGAGCCACAGCTCTGTTTATGATCTTCTGTTTCATTGCTACTATAGTGCTTTACATCACCCCATTCCGATTTATGGCTGTGATCATGGGCTTTTACAAGATGAGGCATCCAAAACTCCGTGATAAGCTTCCTTCCCAGCCTATAAACTTCCTGAGGAGGTTGCCTGCGAAAACAGACAGCTTGTTGTGAGAACTTTCAAACTCCCTATTTCTTTGTGAGGTGCTCCTGTTAGGACAAACAGTTATTTTTTTTAGGTCATTCAGATCATTTGCTGAACTAGATGCAACCTTTTGGAACCATTTTGTTACTTAAACACACACATGAAAATCTCACTGTCCATTTTAAGATATCTCTTTTAGCTATCCTTCCATTTCAGGATCGACACATGCAGATTTGTAGTTTCATGTTTCTCATGGTTGCTTTTTTTTGTTAATTACTACATTTATATCATAACATTCCAGACTAGATTGCCATTGTTTGACTGAAATCTATCTTGCAGAAGAGACAAAAGAAACGATCTTCTTGCTTTGCGTTTGCGATGTTTCTTGTTAGATTGATGTTAGAAAGAAAAGTACTTTAGATATTGCAAAGATTCTTTTGCATTGATCTATTTACACTTACGATTTTCTGACTTCACTGTGCTGTTCTTCAATCACCAATATATGAATATAGCACATCTATAAATCCTTTCATGGGGCTAAGTACATGAAATAGGAGAATGGATGGACCCGTGTAATCCATCATGATGGTCCATGCTATAATGAATTTGTTACTGGCCTGCACAAATGAAGTTGGTTCTTTCTGTCCAATTGTGAAGAGCAGCCATAATCAGCTCGACATTCTTATTGTCAATATAAATGTATCGTAAATCATATACTCTTTATTTTGACAATTATCAGACATATTAGTTTGCAGAAAAATTTCTTTGGAATAATAAGGTGTAGTTACCTTGATCATATTTCGGGTAGAGTGACAGGTCATTACTACAAGATTAAAAATGCTTAATGAATGCATCCTTTTCTGAATTAGAGAAAAAAATGTAGCACTGTTTGAACACTGTATTGTTCTTTTCTCTTATTTTTTTGCTGAAATACTGAGGGATGATTTTTCTTTTTAGTCGCTGAGATTTGTAACTTTGGAGTGATTTAAGGTTTATCTTTGCTGGATCTTGTTGGGGATAGAACAGGGCAGAATGCATTGTTTGCACCATTGATGTAGCAGTTCAAATAATTTGAAGCTTTGATCCCAAAAAAAAATTTGGTCTAAAGGAATCTGGAACTAAAAAGTTCAATTTGAGGATTATCTGATGGTTTCACTATGGAACTCTGCTGCCATGTTATTCTAACTTCCACTTCCAAGCACCATACATTTTTTGGTGAAGTCTATGGTATCGAAAAAGTTAAAAACTATTTTGCCATTATAAGTTTTGTGTGTTTTTTTTTATGAAATTTGAGGATTATTTATAACATTTGAGGGTTATTTTCAAGTTTTAGGGATAATTTACAACTTTTATAGTTCAACTTACAATTTGTGTGGGACATTTATAACTTTTGAGGTTCCTTGCGATTAATCCTAAAATTGTTAGGATCGATCACAAATAACTCTAAAAATTTATAAATGACCCACAAAAGTTATAAATATTTTTGTTAGAAATAAACCTAAAAATTTATATCGCAACCCACAAAACCTAGCAGTACGATACAAATTTTTTATATTTTTTGGGTACATTAGTTGTCTCCTAGATTTTAAGTTATTAGAGTTGTAAACCAACTCAGGTAGCTCAGTTGGCCAGAGCCTCTGGCTTCCCAGTGGGAGGTCAGGGGTTCGAAGTTCTTTGAGCGCAAAAGCGTGGCTGTTTGGTAGAACAAGATTTCAGTTGTTTGGATGAACTGTATTCAAGTCTTTGGTGTAAGTTTTAAATTCACGACGAAGCTCAAGTCCTGATTTAAATGGTGTATGAGTTGAGGAACCGGTTCATACACCCGAGCTTTGCTCTTAGTTTTACCCAGAGTCACGAGCCTGAGCGATATAAGCGTGCTTCTACTCACTGAGGACAGATCATGAGATTTCCCCATATAACGAAAAAAAAAAGGTTATTAGAGATGTAGTTCAATTCAAAGTATTATTGTCAAGGCAAATTGCTTTGTGTCATACACCAAACTCTTTGTGGATTTTTTTTTTTTATTATTATTATTATTCTACAATTGTGCAAGCTAGGTGTTTCTTGAACTAGTGATTGTTACATTAATTCAGACGCATGCTGTAAGACATAAATTATGCACATCAAGTGAACTAGAATATTAAAAAATTACGAAACTCGAATTTGAGACCTCGATGTATTAAACACTATCTACCCAAGAATAAACAACTCAAACACTCAGGCCTCCCATCAAAGATTGAAGATCAACCATTGTTTTTCTAAGGTCCAAATGGAAAGGTCTCTCTACTTTGTTTGGAATGTGAAACCAAGTGAAGCTTTTATGGGAATGGGATTGTTCCAATAGGGTCTTATGACTTCAAAATGAACATGGATAGTGCATTGCGAGGGTCGACAATGGGTTACGTTTTTTTTTTTTTTTGGGGGGAGGGGTTCATGGATGGAGTTGAAATTTTTGTGTTCGGGTTAAGTACCTTGTGTCAAAATTTACTTAATACACATTGATCTATTTATAAATCAAGTTTGTATCGTGCATAGACGAGTTCATATGAACTCATTTGATAAACACGTTTAGCCGATTAACACTGTTTGGATCATAAACTCATATCCTATAATGTCATATCGATTTGGTATATGATGAATGAATCAGTTTTAGAATTGCAAGTCATGCATATTGGGGCCTAGAACTACATAACACTTCAATTTCCAATCTGCAACAACTATGGAGATACATAACTACATTTTAGGGCAAAAATTGCGTGTGACAAAATTAGGAATGATAATATTACTATATTAGAAACGATTATATCCATGGAAAGGTAAATGTAACACCTATAGGAGATAACAAGAGAGAATTGACTTACATGGTTTTAACATATTTATAGATGCCCTATTATGACATTAATGAGAATGAGTGATGTGATAGTTATTTGACAATAAACATAATAACAGAATGTAAATTTTTTTTTTAAATAAAATAGTAAAGAAATATATGATAACTTAAGCAATGACTCTTGACAGAGTAAATAAATATATAATAATTTACAAGAAAACATAAATCTTGATATAGTACTAAAACAAAAGAGAATACTTGTATTCGACTTAAAAAATATTAGGACAAGACTTTGTTGAGTTAAGTATACTTATATTTTGGGGCAGAATTAAGCACGCAGCATGCCCAAATCACTAAATGGGCCGGTCCAGGAATGAGTCCCTCTTAATTCTATTCATGGTCTATAAGGCAGCCCTAAACTGAGATCCAGACCCAAGCCCAGTAAATAGAGTCTCAAGATTAGGGTTTCTAGGGTTCTATATCCACACAAACGCGCCTTATATATCTATACCATCACTAGACTTTCATGCCTCTCGCGTCTCATTTGTAAACAGAGGAGAGAGAGAGAGAGAGAGAGAGAGCTCCATTACCATCATCAATGGCGCCGAGAGTGACCCGAAACCCAGATCTGATCAGAGGCGTGGGCAAGTTCTCACGTTCCAAGATGTACCACAAGAGGGGTCTGTGGGCAATCAAGGCCAAAAACGGCGGCGTATTCCCTCGCCACGACAAGAAGCCAGTCGAACCTACCCCTGCAGAGAAGCCACCCAAGTTCTACCCCGCCGATGATGTCAAGATACCCCTTATCAACAAGCGCAAACACAAACCCACCAAGCTCAGGTATTGTGTGTTTGTGTTTACCTATATTTGCATGATATAAAGTGTGTGTTTGTGTTGTTATGGGGTTTCTTTTACGTATATATGGTGTTTGATGAAATGTAAATCTTGGTCTTTTGTGTATAGGGCTAGTATTACTCCGGGGACAGTCCTGATTATACTGGCTGGGAGGTTTAAGGGGAAGAGAGTAGTGTTCCTGAAACAGCTTCCTTCCGGGTTGCTTTTGATTACTGGTGAGCTTTTTTCATTATCGTTATTGTTGTCCTCTAGATGGATGGGTTTTTGCTTAATTATTGTTTGAAAAATGGTCTTTATATTTTTATCGGTTTACTTGGGTTAATCTTTAACATGCTCGTATGATTCGTGTGTGTACATATCATAATTAACGCTTGATCTTAATATGTTACTGGTTCGAGCTAATCTTTGGATGGGTATGGTTATTTTGGTGATTTATTTTTGCAAGTTCTTTGGTGATTGTGCAGGCCTTGTTTTAGCCAGCACTTGTAAGTTTTACGTTCCAAATGTGTTTCTTGATCTGCGTATTAAGTATAATACCAACCAACCAAACAAATCAAATCAAGCCTTATGTCCCAATCGTTTGGAGTCTCTGCTACCAAAAAGCTCCAATGAAGATGAATATTTCACATGGTGGAGTGTGCATCTGTATGTTGAGTGTTCTTTTTTCGTGTGAACCCTACTATGTAGGACATAGGTGATAAAGATTATTACTCCATGTGAATTTGGTCTTTGTGAAGACAAATAAGATGATTAGGTAGCAAAAGGAGGACATGATTGTTTTTATGAACTGCCTGGTTTCAAATTTGCTTGCCTCTGTGCGAAATGCTGAAGATTTGCAATTTTTACCTACTTTTTTATCTGTTAATCAATAAAATTATACCGACAATGTGGTTCTATTGTTGTTTGTAATTATGCCTTTTTTTGATGAATGATGTGCTTACTGCTCTATAATGGTTAAAAGAACTCCAACCTTTCATATTGCTGAAATATAAAGTAAATTAGGTTACTTATCCTTTGTAGGTGCCTTGATATATGATGTACATCAGAATATCCTTTTCTCTTTTATGTACAGTAATGAGTTTTTGATAATTCTTCCTTGATAAATAGCTGCCACAGTACTCGGTTTGTGTTACTTGGTGTGCTTTTGACCTATGAATTACTTGGGAATAATCATCTCCTAACTCGTATATATCTGCTTGAATCAATGTTTTGTCAACCACAAACACCCATTCAAAATATATCATAGTGGTTCTTGAATCATCTTATCATGGCTGTGGTAATCACCCTTTTTTCCGATAAATTTATTATTTCTATCTGTGATACTTCAGGACCATTCAAAATTAATGGTGTTCCTCTAAGACGGTTGAATCAGTCTTACGTGATTGGTACTTCAACCAAGGTCGACATCACAGGAGTAGATATCGACAAGTTTGATGACAAGTATTTTGCCAAGCAAGTGGAGAAGAAAAAGAAGAAAGGAGAGGGAGAGTTCTTCGAGGCCGAGAAAGAGGTTTGTTCGTTTCCACATAGTTTCTTCCTTTCTTTCCATGCTTTTCTTCTTCACTTGTCGTTCTAATGTTTCCTTTTTTCTGCAAATGCAGGATAAGAATGTGCTCCCATCAGAGAAGAAGGATGATCAGAAAACTGCAGATGCACCTTTGATTAAATCCATTGAGGGGGTTCAAGACTTGAAGACTTATTTGGCGGCAAGGTTTTCACTCAAGGCAGGCATGAAACCTCACGAGCTTGTATTTTAGAGGAAGCACCTCGGACATAGTTGGGGCTGATATTGGTTCCTACTGTCGTGTTTTGTTTTGTTTAAACATTTTTTTGAGCGGCTGTATCCTTTGGGTTTGAATGGTTATAAACATCTAGTTTCACATCATTTTAGGCAATGCAATATGATAAGATTTTTCGTTCTCTACTTTCTTCACATCATCTAGTTGTTCTATGACCTTGGCATCGAGTGTTTCTTCATCTTTACTTAATAGCTGTGAGATTTCCTTTGGTAGTGGTGGAACACTCTTACATTGTTCATAAATTTGCACCTGTTTTGTAGTGTGCTGCAAGGGGATAAAAACTGAAGAATGCGTACTTGTCTGGTTTGTATGATCATTTGCAGATTCTGTTGCCTTGGTTGTGATGTGTATGGAGATTTCGGACAGTGGAGATGTGTTGGGTAGAAGATTAAGTTGAATAGATGTAGGTCGAAATGGTATTGACCAGTTTAGTGATGACGACGACTTTGCTACTCGGGTTTACTGCAAAACATGCAGTTGTGCGAGACTCATGATTTAGGGAATGTGTAGTTAGTTATATTGGGATCAGAAGATACAAAGTTACATATGACTCGGTTTTGTTGTATCGGTATTCATCAAAACTTCGAACCAAGAGTGTAGTGCCTCGACCAATGATATAAGTTAAGATCCATATGAAGTGGGTGCCTTGGTCGGATTCTTTTGTCTTGCTCTACTTTTTCATTGCAGTTAATCTCTCTTCATCCATAGCTGAAATTAGTTGAAAACAGTGCAAGCCTGGTTCATCATTTGATACTGAATAACTACTTTTAAGGTGAGGTTTATTTTTTGTGGTGTAAGTTTTAATTTATAGAAGGTGTAATTTGACCATTAAAAACGTTTTTTTTATGATTATTTGATTTTTCACCATCAACCAACTATAAAATAAATCACCGAGACGATGAAAAGTAATTTATTTTTGTTATAGCCCACTTCGAGGTCTTTGTGGGTAAGACAAAAGTTTAAGTTGGTCCGTACAAAAGTGAGTGGTCACGTGCTTTAAAGTAGGGGCAAATTCTTTATCTATTATCGATACTTTTCTTAATCAGTATTTAAGAATTTATTTTTTCAATTTAAGTCCTAATCTATTTGAAAAACAACTTATTTCCATTTATTTGGACCCTTGTCATTTTATTTTTATTATCTTCCGTAGATTTTAGTCATAAATTGAGTTTATTGTATTTATTTTTTTAAAATTTTTCCTTTTCTTGGGGAGAAAGGCAGCATAATTGGAAATATGATCTTCGGTTAATTCCCAAACAGTCCCTCTCCCTATAACAGCCCTACACTGTTGAAAAAGACAATGAAAGAGTCTCCGTAAAGATTGGGAAAACAAGGGCAGGGGTTTTAGTTATTTTTTTATTCAAAAAAATTGAACCTTTTATTGTTAACTCTCTCTATATCTCTGTCTCACTAGAACCTTCTACTAATGACACAGAAAGCTGTGAGAGTTTCTTCTTCTTCTAACCACAACTCCAACCCCTTCATTTAGGGTTTCTCTAGGGTTTAATCTTAATTGACCCCCAAATATTACAAATAAATACGAACCCTAACCTCCCTCTCTCAAACAATTGGCCGGAAATGGTCAGGTCCAATGGCTTCAGAGTCGTCCACTTGCTCGCTCGCCGCCGTCTCTCTTCCCACCTCCTCCCTGATTCCCCAATCGTACGTATCTTCTCCCTACTGTTTATGTAGATATTGAAATATATAGAATTATGTTCACATATATATTGATTGTTACAGGTGTATGAGTCGTTTTTGAAAGGGTGTTATCGGAGGTTCGGTTCGGCAATTTGTGACAAACCCAGGAATTTTTTAAGCCCCAATTCAAGAAATGGTATTGGGAATTGGGGTTTTTTTTTCCCTTAATGTTACTTGTTTTTAAAATTTCCTTTTTTTGTCGCATGATTGGCAAAAGCTGCGATCTTTTTTATTCCTGGTACATTCTTTTTTGACTTTTTTGAATTGTATTCTGAAATACAGTAGTTAATGAGAGGAACTGGTTGAGAGTGGGATTAATCAATGTCAATTTGGGCGCCACTAGATCAATTCATGGCACTGGTGATTTTTTCTTCTCCTCTTTTATTTTTATTTTTGTTTTTCTTTATTTTTTTTTGTATCTTATAGTGTTATATGTTCAATTCCTGCTGATAATGCTGGCCAAGATATTTTTTTTTTAACTGATTAATATACCCGCAGAAACATTTTTCTAATTTTGTGATTGTTCTTCTAATGCTGTTTGTGTAGTTTATCTCTTCGCTAATAGCATGCCCAACACAATTCTCATGCCAAGTTTATGGAGTTTGTGTTGTTTTTTTTTTGTTTGGTTCAGGTTTCATGGCAAGAGATTATTATGATGTACTTGGTGTAAATAGGAATGCAACTCCATCTGAAATTAAGAAAGCTTATTACGGGGTATGTACCTGTTTCATCTTTTGTTCTTATTTTTTATTTATAAACGTATGATTATGAATGAATTGTATTCCATGATCTGATTAACTGTTTGGGCCTGTAGCTTTGTTTTCCTGAAGTACACTTTTTATGTTTTACTTGATATGTTGTTCATGCTTATGGCATTGTTCTGAAGCTTGCAAAGAAGTTACATCCGGATACAAACAAATATGACCCTGAAGCTGAAACCAAATTTCAAGAAGTTCAAAAAGCATATGAGGTACTTGTTGATCAGGACAAATTTTCTAAAGTAGAGAAATAATTACCCCTCTTATTCCCTAGCCAAAAATTTTGAAAGCATTTTTTTTTTTTGGTTGTAGGTACTGAAAGATGAGGAGAAACGCCAACAATATGACCAGGTATGACTCATATTTTGTATCAATTCCTTTGGGGTTTGTGGTTTGTGGTTTGTTAGATTGTGTGATTAGTTACGGGCTTAGTTGAATTTTAAGGCAGAAAGAGGCTTGACTTTTTATTTGAGAGGGACTTCAAATTTTCCGCTGTGAAAGATCTTAAGTAGTGGCTTAAGAGACCCATAGACCGGGAGCTGAGCAATATACTTTGATGGAGAGGAACTCCCTTTTTGTAAATTCAATGGAGTGACTGAGATCATTTAATAGTGGCATGTTGAATAATTTCCTTGCTTAATCAATTCTTTTGTAGAGCTTCCTAGGAGTATGTTCTTCGGCAGAGATATTTAGATGATCAATTTGGTATTTTTGGTTTGTTGTTGGATTGCATCCACCTTTTGGCTCTTAATAGTTACATTTTGTCCTTGGATAAGAGGAAAAACAGAAGGAAGACTAGAATCTCCTTTTCTATCAAGATGGCTCTCATGCTACCCTTGATTGGCTTCTTCTTGGCAACTCTTTCGATAAGCAGACCCAGAGTTTAAAATTTGCTTTGACAACTGATGTCACTAACTTGTCTGATGCTCGAAAAGTTTTCTCATAAAAGGAATGTGTGATATTTACTCCTCTAATTGCTAATATTGTGCATCCTATAAGTTGGAGTACTTTATTTGAAGTTTTTGTTCTTGGAAATTATGGTTTGAATATAGCTTATTAGTACATAATTAGCTCACGAAGATAAAATATACAAAAAAAAAAAAAAAAACCTCTCAGTGCATTAGTTGTGGCACTTAATTTTTTACGTATGTGCTCTTAACTGCTTTATTGTGAAGAGAAGATTAATTTAAGTTATTATTTAGGATTCCTGTGCATTTATGCTAACTTTGGTGACACTTGACAGACCATTTGTTATTGCAATCATGCCCAAGAAAAACTAAACTCAAATTGTGGAGCAGGAGCGCATGTCTGAATCTGCTTTTGTCAATTTTTGCTCTGTAACTTCTCATGTGTAGTATAGTTTCTTTGTAATTTGTTTTGTTTTATGTATTAAAAGTACTTACTAAAGTTATTAGCATTTAAAAGCAAAAAGGCTTTCACTTATGGACTTCCTTGGTTGCTTTGTGGAGTAAAACATGTTTTTTTTTTCTGCTTAGAATGATTATACATAAAGTTCGTTTTATAAGTGTCTTAATCAATTTACTTGGTAGTTATACTTTTGTTCCTTTTTCATTTATTTTTTAATTGTTTGTGCAATAATCCAGTTCTGTTACCCTCCCCCTTCTGTTTCTGATGATTCAATCATTGTTGGTGACATGTCAACCTTATAGCTTGGCCATGAAAGTTTCGAACAAGCTGCCAATGGTGGTGCTGGCGGTCCAGGGTTTAATCCATTTGAAGGTGGCTTTAATCCGTTTGAAGACATCTTCAGAAATTCTGATAATGTAAGGACTTTTTTCGAAGTGAATTTTAAGGTGGTTCCTCATTTTACAGTTTGTGGCTTCTCTCCATGTTGTGGACTAACAAAAGGAATCTCCTAAGATATATTTTTAGTACAGTATATGGGTAAGATCACATAGGAGTTGGGACATGAATAACTTATTTCTCAGGCAGCTGAAAGGGCGAGATCTTACTTATTTCTTCATTGGAACTTTTGAGTTATCCAGCAACATATTCCTCTGGTGTCTGTGGTCAAGTGGGTTTTTTCCTCTAGTATGTAGATGCGTGCAAGTGTGTTTGTGCATGTTTCCCCATGTGGTGCTTGCTGGATCATGTTAATTGGAGTTTGTCCATTCAAAGATTGGCGATATTTATATGCCTTGTTGACATTTTGTTTCTCATTTTGTTGGGGGCGGAGCTGGGGGAACAATAGCTTCCTCGAGGAATCTACTAATCCTTATCTGTGATCATATTACCATATGCTTTTGGTAGTTTTGCCTTTCCCCCCTCTTGCTACAAACTTGGTTTGTGGGATGCCAACATTCTACGATAACTGTTGTGTTATTATTGATTGTAATGATATTTCAAACAGATGGTATTGAGGTAGGGCAGAGGATGGGAGGACAGGTGTACTTTATCTCTATGTTAGCCCTATACCTCCCAACACCCCCTCCCCAACCAAGCCAAAAAAAAAAAAAAAACCTTGCATGCATACGCACACGGAAACACAAACAAACCTACCCTGAAGAGAAATGGAAATCGTGTAGTTCCTAGTTGACCTACCTAATTCCACATAAGTAAGTCGGCGATTTATTTTCTAGTCAATCTCCTGTAGCAAATTCTAGGTTGAAGGAAAAATTTGATGAACCATGTTTTGGGCCCTGCTAGCTAATCCATTATGGCATAAGCCCTAATCCCTATCAAGGTGTACTATATCATTGTGTTGGTTCTGTTGTTGTATACATATTTATAAGCAAGTTTTGCAATACCCTTCCTGCACTAAAACTCAATGAGCATATTACAGTGAGCGAATAATATCGCGGTGATAGCACATCTTTAATTCAGTTTAGAACTCTTTACACCCTAAAGAAGATGCTTCATTGGGTTCTTTGTTCACCCTTGTGAGTGTTTATGTTTCTGGTAGAATTGCATAGCCGTGATATAGGTCCTCTATTTTGCTATCTCTTCCTTGTTTTTTTTCTATATTCAGCTATTTGCAAACTTAAAATTTCATGTTCAGATATGATACCGTGAATGGTGCTTTATAGTTTTGTCAGAGTTGTAAGTAATTGCTTTCTAGTCTGGATCTCTTTTCCTTCAGAGGGCGTTGGTGTTTTATTAAATTCTACTAAATATTTGAGACAGCTGACTAGAAGATCTCTCCTAATTTAGCCTACCACAACAAAAGTTGGGGCCAGTGCACGTGGATGCTTTTGGTTCTGTTGATTACATTGCATGATGGGGCCAGTGAATAGAGAATGGCTACTAGGTTTTTTGTTTGGGTGTCCTGGAACCCTGGTGTTCTGTGTCCTTTTTGAATTTATTGTTGGGGATATCTCTTTGTTTTCTAATATAATACCTGTGCTAAATACTGTTCGAAATTTAGTGGATGTGCTAAGTTCTTGGCATTTTGTGTTACATAATGAACATTTCAATCCTTAATATCTAATTGTTGATTTTACTGTTATCAGATCTTCAGTTCATTCTTTAATAGGGGTTTGGGTGGCCAAGATGTCAAGGTTTGATCCTTTCCGTCCATATTGTTAAACATTTGTGACACTGAAGTATTTTATTTGACATTAGTCTTTCATATTTGTTTATCGTGATAGATTGCAATTGAATTATCCTTTATGGAAGCTGTTCAAGGATGCACCAAAACTCTGACATTCCAAACTGATTTGCCTTGTGAAGCTTGTGGTATGTCAATGTTCTATCACCATGATTATACTTCTGCTTCCATCATACCCATGATTATACTTCTTTTGAGGTGTTGTCAAATCTGCATACTGTTTTTAGATGCTTTTAGTTGGCCAATAAATTTAGTTTATACCAAGCATGTTGTCGCTTCTTAATTTTTCAGGTGGAACTGGTGTTCCTCCAGGGACTAGGCCCGAAACTTGTAGGCGCTGTAGAGGCTCAGGAATGGTCAGTTCCTAGGACTTATTTTTCTTTATTTATTGTAAAACAATTAATGTCTCTTATAAATGGTTTGTGGCTTTACATCATTTCCAGATAATTACGCAAACTGGCCCGATGACATTGCAAACCACTTGTCCTCAGTGTGGAGGAACTGGAAAAACCGTATCGGTATGGCACTTTATGCATTACCAGTATAGTTTGTATTGAAATCTTTATTCTTATTATTTGGGATTATTACACCAATCATGTTGATCAAGTAGGGACTCTGATGTCCCTTGCCCTCTCCTGTGTTGGGCTGCCATTGTAAAACACAGATTGGTATAACTCATGGAGAATGAAACAGTAATCTTCATCTTGGTTCAAAGGGAAATCATGTCTTGTTTCTTCTTGCAACTAGTCATGAATGCGTAGGTCAAAATTTGAGTAAAAAACTTGATTTGATATAGAGTACTTCAATGGGTAAACTCAAATATCTACTCAAATTTTTTTTAAAATTTTCTTATTGTTCCAAAACTCATTTTTTTTGTGTCATTCAAATAATGAAATTTGATAAAATAAGGAAACTTTCATATTTCTCCACAAATAGGTAATTCAAAAAATACTTGAATATGGATACCATAGTGTCTAGGGGTGTCATTCGTGTCGGGGTAAACGGGTGATAGGTGAAAAATATATAAATCCACACACGACATGTTTAATAAACGGGTAAAAATTTTCAACACAAACACGAACACGAACTGTTTCATAAACGGATAACACAACACAACTTGTTTAACCCATTTAAAAACAAAAAAAACAAAAAAAAATTATTATTTTAACAAATTTTTACACTCCATTTTTTTTGCTTCCAACTGTACTTTCCTCAATTAGAGGAGTTCTAGCCAAAGCCAACAACCAACAGCCACAACACAATGGTCAGAAGAGGCCCACTATCTCTTTTAATAGACAATTAAAACTTCCTCTCTCCACTCTTTCTGTCGATGTGGGATTCAAAAAAAAGGCAATTCAATGTCTCAAAGGTTCAAAGTTTTTGTTTCCTATTTTTTTTGAACTGATTTCTTTATTATTATTATTTTTTTTTGAAATGTTTTCTTTACTGTTTTTTCTTTACTCATTCATTATTTTATATGTATATAAAATAATTATTAATTTATTATTATATTAAATTTATTTAAACGGGTAAACGGGTTGACAGGTCTCAACCAAACACAACCTGTTTATTAAACGTGTTTAGCAGGTCAATCCATTTACCACCAAAACCTGTTAAGGTCTTACACAAACTTGCTTAATTTGTGTCGTGTCGGATTTTGACAGGCCTAGTAGTACCACTTGAGAATAAAAAAAACAAAAAAAAACAAAAGAAAATCACCTAAGAATTTTCAGATTGTTCGAATTTTTTATATTCTTCTTGTAAATTTAGATAAAAAAAAAACATTACTTTGGCATGGGTTTGGTTTGAAGAACACAAAAAGCGGATCATGTTCAACAAAAACAGATGATTGAATAAATAAAATAACGAATTTTCTCAATTTGTGGATAGTGAAGACTAAAAATTTTTGAAAAAATCGGTGTCCTAAAATTGCATTACCAACATTGTTTAACTCAAAAAAATTCAAGAAAAATTTAATGAGTTGGTTTAGGGTTTATATAGTACGAAAGATGGATGGGATTTGAGTTTTAAAAAATACTAGAAATTAAGAAGATAGAAGATGAAAGATGAAAAAGAAGAAGCTTATCCATAAGTCTCTAAGGATCTGTAAATACTTTGATGGTGGTTGGCGATGGAAACAGCGTAGAAGAGAGAGGCAAGAAGAAGAGGCAGAAAACAAGTCATCGAATAAGTCTTTTGGCTTTGGATAAAGTAAAAAGTTACTGATGAAAATTTGGTATAGAATTTGAATCTCCCACAATTTAGGTCCAGAATAAGTTTTTTTTTGATTTGATATAAGTTTGAGAAATTTTTTAGACCATTTACACTAAGGGTTGGAGTTGCTCTTATGCAATTGATGTACGACAAAGGAGAACCCAAAAAAACCTGACATTATTTAAGCTGTGAACAATAGCCTTGAACAGTGATTAGGGGATAATTGTGTCAACTTGTATGTTAGGGTAAAAGAAATTGAAAGGGAAATGTGTAGGGGGTGTAGATAGGTTATTGATTTAGATTTGATAGAAATTGTATATATGTAAAAAATACAAGAAAAAATAAGAAAAAGAAGAAGAAGAGAACTAGGAATCACTCCTAGGGTTCCTTAGGCATCATACCTAATTACCTAGGCTTGAATGCATCACACAATCCTCAAAGCATATAATTGCTTAAAATTTCTCAAAAATATCACTTTATTAAATTAAAGCATTAAATCTCCATATATAGACCTCAAAGTATTTACTAATCTTAAAAAGATTAGGTCTCCAAAGACTCTAGGACGTCAAATACTCTAAACTCATTATAGCCTTAAGCTTATCAATCGTATCGAGTCTTAAAGGTTCGTGTAAAAACTATTCGACCCTTGCATGATTCATTTAAATAAATAGGGGAAAATCACAAAATCGGACACGATTCGTTTATTAAATGGTTTGCATGGCACCACTCGTTTAATCCAATTAGTAAATGAATTATGTTGGGTAGGGTCGGGTTAACACGATAACCATTTTAACCCACCATCATTACACACGTTTGTCGTTAAAAATTTTGTATACATTCCAATTGATTATTCCTGCTAACTAACTAACAAACTAACACAAGAACATGATGTTTAGTGATGCCACCCTACATGCATGTTACATGTCCCATAAGAACTCTCACATATATATCAAACTCTGCATTGTTTGCATTCAACAAGTTTCTTGTTATCATGAAAATTTTCATCTAATTACCTAAAGTATTGTCAAACTGTTGAAGTCATTTGCTGCTTATGGGTAGATTTATCTGTACCTTTTTTTTGATGATGTACCCGTAGGATCTGCGTCCATCTTAGATTCATATGTGCATCCTCATCTACTTCGTTTGAAATTATGTTGTTGTGCTCGAAAGAATCCATCTGCATAAGGCATAAAACATAAAACATTGAGTAGCTAGTGACAACCATGAACATGGAGGAGAAGGTGACTATCTAGCTGCCTTGAAAGGCTTTTGTTTTATTTTCTCTTTAGGGATTTAGATGGTGTGATCATCAAAACTTGGTATCCATTAAATGGGGCTATTCTAATAACATTTAGCTGTGGCAGACCCAACTGGGCCCGTAAATCAGTTCAAACCCATTGGGCTTAACAGAATTCCTGGCCCAGTTCAATAGCTTGAAGTCCCATTCACTATAACTAATCTATTTGTTGTTTATTTGAAAGCTTCAGTTGATTATACCACAATTAACTATCAATTACATCGCTTCTGAATGTTCAAAAACTGAAATTAATCTAGTATTTCTTGAACTCACACCATGAATTGACCCAACTACAATTACATCGCACTATGAAGTATGAACCCTTTGATTTGTGGCTGAAATCGAAAGGGGGGGGGGGGAGAGTGTCCAAATCCTAACATTTAGATATTAAAGCTTGAGATTTGGGTGTTAGGGCTTGAGATTGGGGGCGATAAAGATGGCGAGAAGCAAAGAAAGGAGGGGTGGGGAGAACAAAGCCATTTACAATGATTATAGAGAGGGAGAAGAAAACTTAATGGAGGCTAAGAATTGGGATGAAGGCTGATCAACCTCAAGATTGAGGTTGAGATCGAGACTGTGAGCTGGTGAGAGATGTCTTCGTCGGGGAGAGAGAGAGAGCGAGACTGTGCGTCTTTGCCTGGGAAAGTGAGAGATGACTTCCTCCACAACAAGACTATGAGAATGTGTTTCGCCCTAAAGAGATAGAGAGAGACTCTTAATGGTCGAACTGGTGGAGGCAGACAAAAGACTTAAGGTTACGACATGGAGATAGGATGGGCCGGTGTAGGTTTCTAATTATTAAACTGGAATAATTATTATTATATCAATCTAATTTCAACGGTTAAATGGGTGATAAAAAGGTTGACATAGTCTAACGTAGTGTTGTTTAAGGCGTAAAGCAAACCGAAGCGACCAAGCCTTCTAACGCTTAGGCGAGAAGTGAGAAGCGAAGTGACACACTTTACCGAAGTGAAGCGAACAGTTAAAAAAAAAAATATTTTAGTTTAATTACTTCTAAACAATATAAGTTCTAATTTTATATATACTAAATATTTAAATGTAAGTAAAACCATAAACATTTAAATTAAAACAAACATTAATAATATCTCAAATCTTAATAACAGTCATAACTTAAACATTTAAATTCAAACAAATATGAATAATATCCCAAATCTTAATATTTAAAAACATAAGACACACAATTCAAGCAACTAAAGAAACCATCTTAAGGACTTAGAAATCAATCCTCATCATTAAAGAAATCATCTTCTTCATTATCTTTATTTCAATGTACATTCGGCATTGACTGTTAAACTATAATCAGTGCTTAAAAAACTGTAATGACTTTTGTGTGGGATCTTCATATGGACTGGACAACAAGACAAGGAAAAAAAGGAATGTGTTTTGTTCGGAGCATTGCTTATCAGAAAAAAAAAAAAAAAGATCAGCGATCGTCAGGAAAAAAAAAAGTTATCAGTGCTTAAAAAATAAAAGAAAATAAAAAAAAAGTAACAGAATCGGTGAGGACGAAGCAGAAGAGAGAAGAAGAGAGAAGAAAAAAGAGAAATAGAAGAGACAAGAAGAAGAAGAAACTAACAAACCTGTGATCATCTCTATCCACCTCCAGACCAGAAATCGCGTAAGGAGCAGCTATCGTGTAGCAGCGATGGTGTAGCAGTGGTCGTGTAGCAGCGAGCAACGAAGCCTTGTTCCTTGTGTCCAGCAAAGCCCTTGTCCAGTGATGGTGTAGGAGTGGTCGTGTAAACAACGATCGTGTAGCAGCGAAGCCAATCAGAGCTCCAGCGAAGGCAATCTGAGAAAAAAATTAGGTTTGGGGTTGTATTTATGGGATAAGGGAATAATTCAGTGTATTAACATCTTAAAATTGTTTTTCCAATTGCCCAATCAATGACCCATAATCAAAATAAAAAAAATTGCCTGGAACCATTAAGGTGCTCGCTTTTTCGCCTGTCGTTTAAGCAACATGCGCTCACTTTTCTTGTTTTTTTCTCGCTTCGGTCACATTCGCTTCGTCTGGGGCTGGGGTCCTCTAGGCGAGTGCCTAGGCGTGCTTTTCAAAACATTGGTCTAACGGGTCCACGTGAACCCGTTAAGGTCTCACCCAAGCCTGCTTAACTCACAATTTAATGTATCGACCTCGATTGAGTCGTGCCACCACCAATACGATACCGATACATGATATGCGAATACATAAAATTTAGGTAAATCAGTCTTGACTCGATTATGATTCGGTCGTATCGACCCAACTCGGAGCGAAATTGGTTAACTCAGACCGGGTTAGACTGATTTGAACCGATAGAACAAGATCTTAGACAAGCCATAGATAGCCACCTAAAAAAGAGAGAGATAGAGAAGGAAAGAAGAAAGAAAGTAAAGATCATAGACCCAGATATACCATTTATCAATTTTCAATCTAGAATTAGTGACCCACATGCAAAGGAAGCTATAAATAAACTCTAAATCACACCTCTTTGCAATTAAAAAAATAAAAGAAAAATTAAAAAAATTTGAAAGAAAATCTGTGAAATTGAAAACCTCTACTTCTTCCTTTTCTTATATCACGCGGGGCAACAATTATCCTTTTTCTTATATCACGCGAGGCAACGGTTATCCAACTCAACCTTTCTTCTTGGGTAGTAGCAAGGATCAAAGGTCCTCTCTCTCGTTAATTGTTTTTTATCACAATCGTCCCCCCCTCTCTCTCGCTGTGTATGATGCCTCTAAGTTAATCTTAATGGTTTACGACTCTGGTAAGAGTCAAAGACCCATAAGTATCATAGCTATTACATATTATTATTATTTTATATTACAAATGAGAATGTTGGTTGTAATTAATACCTTTTTTTTTAACACAGTTGTACTTCATACCTATATTATTTATTTTTATAATTCATTTTTACACTTAAATTTCTCAAAAGAAAAGTTATACTCTCATACATAGGCCAAAATATTATTTTCTATATTTTAAAAGTATTTTAATATCGATAAATAAATCCTGAAACCAAATTATATTTAGATTTAGATGATTCTTATAGTAAATATTACTTACCTATTTTGGATAATTAACTTAGAGACAACAACAATGGTTATTAATAACTTCGATAACTCCCTTATAATTTATTTTCATTGTGTGTGTTTAATATAGTAGAGGATATATTTTGGAAATATGATACATTGATGTTATTACTTATATTTTTTAGAAATTATGCGTATCGGACTATACTGTGTCATGACGCTGCGACCAATGTGTATCAATGCTTTCCAAGTTGATCACCGATACCATGCCTTGAACCATGGCTTAACTCCGTGTCGATTCGTGTTATGTTGTATTTTGATAGGCCTAATAGGCTAGGAAACTAGATTTGGGTCTCTAGATTCTAGAACATCTGACACTAGAATTTGACCCAAAAAATGACCCATGGGTAAACTATAACCCGTCTATGATAATAATAAAGATAATAATGTTTGCTCCATCAATATTGGAACACTTCAACTAGGTTTGTTCATATCAGAATTGAAGTTGCAAGTATTTCGTTAATGTTTGTTTCCCTTACGTTTGGTTTGCTTCATTATTTCTCAATGTTTAATGTGGTTTAAAAAGAAGTAACTTCCATAGGATATAATCGTGCCTAGTGTTTTATAACTTTTGAGCAGATCAATTACGAATTCTAGGTACCGAATTAGGTTCCTAAAATACTTGGTTGAATTCTGTATTTGAATTTTAGATTTTACGTGTCCATATCTCGTGTTTGCTTTTTGGCAAGAAAACATGGACCATCCTTTCTTGTACATGTTTTTCTTTTTGTCTGATTTTTAATTTGACGCATTTGCCATTTTTTCCCAACTTCTGTCAAAATTAAGGTCCTCTTTAAATTCTACTAGATTACTATTTGAAACCCTGTGTCTCAGTCTATGGTTAAGCATTGTTATTGTTTTTCTGCCTGTTCACTCTTTCATTTCTTTTGCAACACTTCATGTAATGGCTGATTTGGGAAGGCTTCCATTGGATTCTGATAATTTGCAACAACATTTATGCACAAGTGTTCATTAGTTTTTCTCACCAAAGGTTTAATTTTACTTTTGAAAAATGTTGGAAAATTTCAATAATTTTGCCAATTCTCCGTTTTTGTATCTTGAATGTAAGATTTATTGTGAATTTAAGATGACCTACTATGTTTCATGGTCTCTGTATAGAGCTTCTGCAAGACTTGCAAGGGAAGAAGAGTGGTGAAAGGAACAAAATCAATCAAGTTGGATATTATGCCAGGTAATATTGGGATTTTAAGAAATTGACAGTTTCCAGATCCAAGGAAAAAAAAAAGGGAGCATTGGAAATTATGATTATGCATGGCTAATTATGTTGTTTAATGCCCCCATATTATACCATGCAGACCTCCCTCGATGATTAAGACATACTGGTCTCTCCCTCTAAATTTATAAATGTTATCACGTACTTCTTCTCTGATATAGAAAGTATAAGAGATCCTAGATAACTTACAAGTATTTATTTTTTGGTTTTAGGACTGTTTTTTGGTGATTAGCAACAAAAGATATATAAGCTCTCTTAATATTGGTCAGCCAAGAAATCCTTTATTTCTTAATTCAGGGTTTTGAAGAATCCATGGCCTCTTGTATGGTCATTATATAAGGCGATGTTCCTAGGCTTGTCATCTCTCACAATTACGCTAGCCTCATTATCAACCTTTAGTCCATGTTGTTCATCAATTTGTTCCTGCCTCATGTTTTTTGTGGGTGTGGATGGTTTAAAATGTCACCGAGTTTGTTGGCATCTGCAGGAGTGGACAATAATGAAACTATGAAGGTGCCAAGAAGTGGTGGAGCAGACCCTGATGGCAATCAACCTGGAAATCTTTATGTTACTATTATGGTAACTTGCATAACTTTTATGACTTCTAATGCCATTGCTACTTCATATTTGTAGTTGGATGTGCATGTTCACCTGCTCAGATGTTAATATATTATTCCAGGTGAGAGAAGACCCTGTTTTCCGAAGAGAAGGGCCCGACATTCATGTTGATGCTGTTTTGAGTATCACTCAGGTAATACTTCTTTATAATGAGCCCAAATAATGTTTTGTAAAGCTTTTTTCCTTTTTTTTTTTTGGTTTTCCAGTGTGTGTGTTCAAAGAGGTACTTGGATCACCGAGTGATCCAATTGATTACATGTGGGCCCTCCATATACATGACCAAGCAGGTTTTTATACCCTGTTATTTGTCATCTTGTTTTGACTGGAGAGATGCAAGTTGATTATCTCCGGATTTCTTAATGTGGATAATAGCCTGACAGTTCACTAATATTTTATGTTCCACCTGTCAAATTATCATGTAATTACTTTTGTTTCTATTATGTGGTTTCAAAACAAGGAAATCCCTGTTACCTACCGTTACAAGGTCTTATAAAGTAACTAGGTGTGGTCCATTATCCCGGCCTTTGTCTATTATTAGGTTTTTTTATTATGCTCACTTTAGTTGCCAAGTTTCCTTTTAGTAGAACTGTCTTCAGTTGTTTAATGGAGCATTTACTCTCTTGCAGGCAATTTTGGGAGGAACAATTCAGGTCCCAACACTAACAGGAGATGTTGTTGTTAAGGTTTGTTTGAAATTGTGGCATGCTATCCTCTTCTTTTTCTCCATTAACTAAAAAATATAGTCTGGGTTTATTTGCTGAGGCATGTTTTATTGGCTTCTGTTTTGTAGGTCCGCCCTGGCACCCAACCTGGTCAAAAAGTTGTTCTGAGGAAAAAAGGTAGAATAGTACCTTAGAATATGCCTCTAATTTTTCATATATTTCATCAATTCATTTTTCCAGGCTCATAAACATGAACAACAGGCCATGTGTTTTTATGCGGGTGTAAAGCTATGTACATCTGATGCTCCCAGACCTGCAATAGAGGGAGCCTCCTGCACCAGGCTGCTATTTTTTGTGTATGTGTTCATAGAGACCTTGGAGGGAGAGAAATGTAGAAAGAAAGATGGATAAACAGAGGGAAACATGAATGAACAGAAGATTTTTTTCAGAGGGTGGAGAAAGATAAGGTAGCATAGAAAGTGGGAAATTTGGAAGTAAATAGAGAAACATGATGGAAGAGAAAATGTTTGTTTCAAGAAGTTTAAGAGGTGGTTGGTTATTAAACTCTGCCTTGTGAGCTGAAATTGATTATCAACTTTAAAGTGGAAGAGACACGAAAAAGAAGTTAATAAAAGGAATTGAAGTTCTCTTTAAAAAGTAGAACTAATTCTAAATTTCATCGTAATTCGTAAGAAAGAGATGTGGGAAGATGGTATAGCAAGAGTTGGCAAGAATACATTCCTGGATGGGCATATCAAATGTGTGCACCCTAGGTCTCCTAATGGCAGCCATTTTGTGAAAATAAAACTGAATGTCATACGTGTACTAAGTTCACCCTTTTTCCCACGGAGTTATAGGATTAGCCTGGGCAATTAGATTCAGGGAGTAATTGAAATAGTCTTGTGTTTTTCTTTCTTTTTGTTTTTTGCTATTTGGTAGTATAGGTGCCAACAAAACAGTGAATCAGGACTCAAGCATGTCAAAGAAATGTGTATTATTCCAGCCAATCATGTTGTTGGAGGAGAAATACTCAACAGTGGTCCTTGTCTGGTTATCTGGTAGCTGATTGCTACCCAAATTGTTCAGTTGATATTGTGACTGGTTTCTCATTAGATGTCTTAGGCAGGAAGGATGCTATTTGTTATGATGTTGTGAGGGATTTATGTTATATACCTGCTGCCATGGTGACTGGGACAGCAATTTGATAATGGGTCCATTCTAGGTGTTAGCAATACTCTTTTGTTTTTTTTCATCTTAGGTGTTAGTTATGCTCTTTTCTACTTGAAAATATTCCGTAGGCTCAAATTCTGTTTGAGAAACGCCATCATCTCTAAAAGTGCATGAACAAATACTTCCTTACTAGTTATTCATATATATGCTTTGAATATATTGTACTTAATTACTTTGTTTCTTTGCAGGGATTAAAGTAAGGACTGGTTTTTCGTTTGGAGATCAATACGTGCACTTCAATGTCAGCATCCCAACGTAGGCTCCCTTTCCTTTAGATCTTGTTTTGAATTGTGCCCAATCATGTTTTCATTTATTGTTCTTCTCATACTAAATGCTACACTAGAAAAAAGGGGGATCTGCATCATTTCCTTTTCTATCCAAACAACGCTTGATGTTTGAGAATTTCTGTCTGCAGGGATTTGACACCGAGACAACGAGAACTAATTGAAGAGTTTACTAAAGAAGAGCAAGGGGATTTCGATAAGGGTACTGCTGCAGGAGCATCTAGGTGAGCAGAGGTGGTTTTGACTGCTTGATGTGGCAACTGTAGTAAAAGAAGACGGTGAAAGAGGGAAAATTAATTTTACAACCCTTTTTCTGAAATCGAAAGTTTTGTTGGAGCCATTTTTTAGATTTTGACTTTTTTTTCCTGGTTTTTTGAGGTCTGTAGTTTTATGGGGAGGTTTGAAACACAATCATATTTGTCATTCAGCTTGAGACCAGGTTATCCGGTCCGGCTCACTCTCATCTTGCTGATGTTGTATATATTCACAATTTATTTTTTGAGGGAAAAAATAGCAGACGCTTGCACATTTCAATCATTAGTCTTGAGTTTTGCACTGCGTGTAATGGTAGTTTCATGGAGGATCCTTTCATGGGAAAAATGATACGACTCGAAGTTGTGTGGGTGAAACTGTTAAGAACATTGTGAACTCTGCTAGAAGCCGGTATTTGGAGGGAACAAAATTCACATGGCAACTCCAACCAGGTTATCAAATTTCAGGTGGACGACTTCAACGTCTTTTTTTGGCATTCTCTTCTCTTCCCCGGCTATGCCAAACGCTGATTTGGCAAAGAGTCCAGGAGCAATGAGGTTGTGTATTCCATTGAATAAAGAGTCCATGAACTGGGGAAGAATTTAATGTTCAAGTCAAAAGTTTTATGCTTTCATGCACTGTTTGGGACATTTTTAATCCTTACTAGTTCTAGTCCTTACCCAAATTCATGCTAAGTTAAAGATAACCAAATTTGACCCAAATCGAGTGAACTTCAAATTTTTAATCATAACTTCGATTGTCATATTTCAATTTTTTGGCTTCTCTTTCTCTCTCTTGTCTACATTTGAAGTATTTAGGTTCAAAAATATAACACTACTGAAATTTAGATCATTTAATATAAATATTGTTTATCAAAGTAATTTAGAAGGGAGAAAAAAAGAAAGATTAATATGAAATTCAAATTTATTTACCGGGTGTTTTAACTTTTAAAGCTAGTTTATATCAAAAAAAAAAAGTAAGGCTAAATAGGGCTTTAATTATTTATAATTTAAAGTCTATAATTACTAAAAAGCGAAAAAAAAGGAGGAAAGATAAACAAAACATAATAAAATAGAGTGTAAACGTGGCAACTTTTTACTGGTCACTGAACAAGACATACGGATTGCAATCCAAGCTCCTGAGAGGTTCTTTAATCCTGGCCGTTCACAAACCTTTCCCAATCGACGTTCTTTAATCAAAACTACACAGTAGCGACATGGCACCTCTCTACTGGTTACTTAACAGAGCACCCGGATCCCAATCCGCTCCTCGATTTGTCTCTTAATCTATACCGCTCAATCCTGTACATATCAACGATAGATGTTCAACCTCCAAAACCTCAAGCCCACCAAAAATTCAAACCACCCTCAAAATTTCAAACCTTCCCCTTCCCCAACCACTGATATATACCCCTCAGAACCCGCCCACATCAATCACACAAACTCATCCTCTCTCTCCATATACATACAGCTCTCTCTCTCTCTCTCTCTCTATATATATATATATATATATATATATATATATCTGCACACTGTCTTCTTTCTCTCTTATCATCAATGGCTCGTACCAAGCAAACCGCTCGCAAGTCCACCGGAGGCAAGGCACCAAGGAAGCAACTAGCGACCAAGGCCGCGAGAAAATCAGCTCCGGCCACAGGAGGAGTGAAGAAGCCCCACAGGTTCCGCCCAGGAACAGTGGCGTTGAGGGAGATTAGGAAGTACCAGAAGAGCACTGAGCTTTTGATTCGAAAGCTTCCATTCCAGAGGCTTGTGAGAGAAATCGCTCAGGATTTCAAGACCGATCTGAGGTTCCAGAGCTCTGCTGTGGCGGCTCTCCAGGAGGCTGCTGAGGCGTACTTGGTGGGTCTTTTCGAGGATACCAATCTATGTGCTATTCACGCCAAGAGGGTCACGATCATGCCCAAGGACATTCAGCTTGCAAGGAGGATTAGGGGTGAGAGGGCTTAGGTTGTCGTCCTACACCTGTTCTGTTGCAATGGTTTGTGGGTTTTTTTTTTGTGGGTCTGGTTTATAGGTGGAGTATTGTAAATCTTCGTGATTAGTTCTTAATGTAGAAGCTTAGGGATGATATGATGTTTTTTTGCTTTTAATCAATGGAAATTTATGTTTCCTATTTTTTTAGACTGAATTTTTTCTTTCAGATTCTGTGTGTGCGGATGTGGATGTGGGTATGTTTTGTATGTAAAGATTCCATTAGTCCTATTTTGATGCATTTAGATCCCACCGAGGGAATAACAGAATGTAAACATCAATGCTATTTATTTGCTTACTTTCCAGCCCAAATACTGGTATATTCCATAGTTTATGTTGTGTGCTTTGTAGTGATCAATTGAGGAATTGTAATTTATAGTTTTTTGTACTTTTAATTTTTGAACAATCAAAAACCTGAGTAGATTAGGATTTGTTTTTTGTTTTGTTTTGGCATTCAAATCCAGTGCTCGGTTGACTTTATCAATTGTAATTTAGTATCTCTATTGTATCTGTTGGATTATGTGTACATAACATTGTTTTGGTTATGAAGAATTTGAAGTTCAGATGATTGAACCCATCGTTCTGTTTTTGAACTTTGGGTGGTTGATCAAATATTTGATTTTTCAGTGTTTTTATTCTCTTACCTTTTCAACCAAATCTGCCATGACAAAGAATTATGTTGTTGTGTTGTGCGTACATTTGCAATTTATGAACTGAGTCTGTTTGTCAACAATTACATAAAAAAGCATGTGAGAAATGAAGTACAAACTTATGCAGAGTTGTTGGAAACACATTATGAATCCCCAGTCCAAAACGTCAATATAGGTTTTAGGTGCAGATGAAACTCATAAAAAATTTCCGTAATTGAAAATTTGCAGTTTGGGTTGGAACCAATGGAATGTAGAAATTTTGTACTGTTGTATTTATATAAAGGTGAATAAAGAACGTCTATATAATAAGATAGTTCACAAATTGAATTTTATTTTTTATATTCCAAAAATATCATATCATTTATTTTTATCACATACTCAATTATTTTAATATTGGATTAATTTATAGTTTAATATAATTTTTATTTTAAATATTTTCCATTCGTATTCTATCAAATTACGTATTTTAAAAAATTATTATTTAATATAATAGGATAAATTTTTTTGAACGCTTGAATTTTATTTTTGATCATGTCTTCTAATACGAGTTATGACTAGTGATTTGTTATTTTAGAATTGGTTTATCTTTATGATACACACTGCTTTGGCTCTAGAATCATCTCTCTTTGTGACAGGACTTTAGGCGGCTTAGCGGTTCTTAGACTGACACGTGTAATGGTGTAGTCGTTACGGAACTCAAAAAACAACGAGAAATGGCGTTGAGGAGTAATGATTCGAAGGAGCTGAGTACACAGACTGACACCAGTATTCAAGGCGATTTGATAGCTCATTTATGGAGATGTGACAGAGACAGGGCTATAAATGAGCCCTTGCATCCTCGAGACCCAAAGCAGCAGTCATGATTGCAAAGAATTAATGGTTATTACGCCGAATATATCTCCTCGATGCTCCCTGAGGTATTGTTCCTCCAAACGTTGAACGCTAGGGACTAGGCGTCAAAACACCGGGGATAGGGCCATAAGTTCTTGGCATGTCCTGAACAGTCACCCTATTGTCCGAGTATACTAGGCTCGAAAATTTGGGTGGAGAACACTTATTACGCATGGGTAAGAGTGATAGTCATTAAATGTTGAGAAGGGACTTCAAGCCTTGACACTCATTACTAATCCAAATATAAATACTCATCACAAAAATGAATAAAAGTACGAAAAAACTAAACTGAGAAAAGAAATACATTGTGCTCAAGTCTCCAAACTTATAATGGCTTAAGCTTTTGAGGGGATAAATGGTGTGTTCACTTGGTCCCTTTTTTAACCTTGTGGTTATTTCAGGTTCATTTATAGTGAACACACGATCCCAAGCTAAGGGGGGAGGGAGTATACGTGTGAAAAATGCGGAGGCTACTTGGCTCTCAACAGTCATGGAGTCAGACCAGACGAGTCGGTCAGATGGAGACGAACATGCCTCACAGAGAACGTTTCCCGTAGATCAAGGCCTTGGGGGGCAAGGCCTTTTGGCTCGTAAAATCCTTGAGTTGGTGGAAAAACGGATGGAAAAGTGCATCAAGCAACTTGAGAAGGAGGATAATGCCAAGGTACAACATCGGCTCGATGATTTCAAGCAGTCGGGAAGTGCTAGTTTGCGGAGCAATAGGCACGAAGGTCAAAGTTTCAGTCGAGGTGATTCCAAGGGCATGAAGCTAGATGCCCTTGGGAGAAGCTTGCGCGGGCGCATGGCCAAGAGGCACAACCAACGAAGCTGGGGAAAGCTTGGTCCCGAGGAAGGATCAGAGTAGGATCACTACAGGGCGGGCTTGTCCTAGGGGGACCTACGCCATGTATTATCAGGGGGCGCCGCGGTAACTGAGTCCCACACAAAGTCCACTACGAGGGGACCCTAAGAGAGTGAGGCCCCTAGGGGACCTCCGAGTGTGCTTGGATGCCAAACGCTAGAAACCTCAACTCGAGGGGAATGTCATCTCTCTATTTGTACGAGCCATTTGGGAGATCGAAATGTCGAAGAAGTTCACTGTCCCCCGATTCAAAGTTTATGATGAAAGGACAGACCCCAAGGGCCACCTACGACAATACAAACAGTTAAAGTCCATTTACGACACTGATCAAATGCTTCTGTGCCGAGTTTTTTCCATGAACTTGGGGGACACTGCGATGAAGTGGTATGAGAGCTTGGCCCCGTAGAGCATAATATCTTGGAGGCAAATAACCGAGCTTTTTGTTCCTTGATTCATCACTAGTAACAAGAGGCCGAAAGACGTCAACGCTTTACTAACGCTCAAATGGAGAGGGGTAGAATCCCTACTACAGTACGCAATTAGGTATTGAGAAAAAGTGAATGAGGTCGAAGCCTGTTCGGA